ACAAACAGGGCAATGTGCCCCCCTGGGCAGGCACCTTGGAGTCTCCCAAATGGAGCTGCTGTTCCGGCCATCCCAGGCCATGAATGGACAAGCGCGGCATTGACAGCCGCAGGGACAGGGACAAACGGGGCTCTGTGTCCCCCCTCACACCTTCCCCTCCTCCCCCTTCCTGGGGACAATGGCTCCAGCCATGCCAAGGTTCACAGCTGGCAAGGGTGGGGGAAAGGCCAGGACACGGGTGGGGAGCTGGGAGGAGAAAGGGATTCGGGAGGGATAACGGGGATGTGGCAGAGGGGGAAATTCCAGAAGGGTCGGAGGTGTTTTTCAGCACTTGGGGAAGTTTGGGAAGGAGGATGGAGCTGCCTCCTTTCCCTGTACAGCTTCCTGAGAAACATTTCCGTGGCACAGCAGGATAATGTCCCCTGGCTCCTCACACCTCTTCTGCCTTGGGATGTCTTTCCCACACACCTTGGCTTCTTGGGAGATGGGGGATGGAGAGAGGGAATTACCTCCTTGTCCCTGAGTTTGGTGTTTTTCCCAGATTATCCAAAGGTGCTTTTGTCAGATGTCATCTGTGGATGTCAGCTAAGGAACTCCTGTGAGAGCAGAGGGAGCTTTCCATGGGCTGGGGAGATGCTGGGGAAGGTGCTGTCTCTGGACACTAAGCTGCAGGCTGGGAACTGTGGAATGCTAGAATGGTTTGGATTGGAAAGGATCATCCAGGGCCATGGGCAGGTCTGGTTTGATTGTTCCTCCCACAGGGATGGTTCATCTTTCCGAGTGTTTTGCCTGTGTTATCCAGGTTGGTGCTCTGGGGTCTTCCTGGACACCCTGTAATCCTCTTTACTCCCCAGATCCGGGGGGTTGGGTAAAATCCCGTATCCCTATCCCTGCATCCTACCCTGCCTGGCACAGGATAGCTTCTCTAGGACTGCAGTGGGATTAGGCCCAGGAGCAGGAATGTTGGCTGGGAGCTCTCCAAGCTCCCAGAGCTCATCCTTGGCTATGTTTTTGGTGTGGAATTTGGACTTTGGGATTTCTGCTCCAGCATGAACGGAGATGGATGAGGTGCCCTGTTGTCCTTGGTAAGGGGCTGGCAAGGGAGTGTCCCTTAGAATGGGCCACAGGTAGTGGCTGAACTTTTTGTGATGGGATGGGCACAGGCTATGTTCGGATGTGTAAGGAAGGGTGTCCTAATCCCATGGATGGTATTTAGGAATGAGATCAAGTGACAATCCTGGAAGATCCCACATAGTTTTCCTTGCTCCAGCCCTTGCAGATCCCAACAGACGTTCCTGAGTGGGACAAAGGATGCCAATAGTGGGGTGAGGAGGGAGAGGCTGTGGTTTAGGGAAGGGACCTGGGAGCCCCTGGAAGTGCCTGAGACAGCCAGGACTTGGTTTCAGGGTGGTCTCTGGGGGAGCCTCTGGCTCTGTGTCCCGCTCCGGTTACAGGATCCCATTCAGGGGCTGGTTATCGTTGCAGTCAGGTAATAAAGAGCATTAATTAAAGAGGAATTCCAGGCTGGCATCCGGCGGGAGGCAGGGGCTGCGGGGTCGGTCTGTTCCACCCTTGCGGGCAGCCCAGGCTTGGGAACGGGGGGCAAGCGCGAGACGGTCCCGCTGTCTCCTGTGGAAGCAGCCGCGTCCCCTGGCTCCTGCCAGCCCTGCCGCGGGAGGAATGCTGTTCCCGGCTGGAGCGGGCGCTCCGCAGGCTCGGCAGAGCCGCGCGGCTCCCGCGGATAGGGAAGAAGCTCCGAAGCCGATCGCTGGCCCCGCGGCTCCCGGGGCTTAGGCGGTGTTTGGATAGGTCGCCGTGGCCCGGATTCCTCCTGCTCGCACCCAGGCTGGCAGCCAATCCCCCCGGGCAGAAGGATAAACATGGGAAGGAGCAGAAGGGGGTGTGGGGGCCCCGGGAATGTGCCGATGAGGCAGCCTGGGCTGAAGTTGCACAACCAACCTCTCGTGCCGGGACACTGGGATGCGGCAGCAGCACTGCTGTGCCATCCCAGGGAATTCCCACTGGACCTTCTGGTGCGTTCCCTTCATCGGCCTATCCCCTTGTACTCTGGAGAGCTACTGAGGGAGGGAATGCTACATGGGAGCAGCTAACGGGGTCTCCTGTTCCAACCTGCCCCCGATGGATATTTTATTGCTTCCTAGAGTGTCCTGTGCCTCAGTTTCTCCTGAAATCAGGGGGAAAATTCACCCGCTAGTATGTGGCTCCACTCTGGGCTTGGCACATCTCCTCCTCCTCCCCGGTGTCCCCCCATCCCTGATGTTCCCCAACCCCTTTGAAGCCACTGACCTCAGCATCATCTCCAGGTTCCCACATCTGGATTGTGTTAGCGGATCCTGGGATGAAGTACTCCAGCTCCCTCCCTCCCTCCCTTCCTCCCTCCCACCCCCAGGTGACCCAGGCAGGATTAGGGGTGATTTGAAGACAGGCAACAGAGCAAGAACTGTAGAGATGGGGGAGGATCTGTTATAAATAGAAATTCCATAAACTTCTCGGCCTATCGCTCCAGGAAAATTCCGGGTTAAATCTCTCAGAGCTGTAAGTATGAGGAATTATGGAGCACAGGCTCCCTTAACTCTTTCCAAGCCCTGTGCTCACCTCTAGGAGCACCTAAAACAGAGCCAGTTGTGGAGCCGGATGTGCCCAGGAGGGACAAGGCAGTGGGAGCAGGGACAGGGAGGAGCGGGAAGCACCTCTGTTGGGATGTGGAGCACATTTGGAGGTTTGGGGAAGGCAGAGCACACCAGTCCAAACAGTGGGATTCCTGACATTCTCACACATCCGAGGGGCCTCACCCACTCATGAGGAGGGTGCTCAGGCTTTAACTTCTTGTTCTTCGGGGGTTTTTTTTGGATCACCTTGGCTCTTTTCCAAGGAAAGGGTTGGAAAGCAGAGCAGTGGGAGCGGTGATGTAGTGGGGTGACAATGCCAGCAACAGGCTTGGGATGGACGAGCTCAGAGCTTCCCTGGGCTCCTCCACGTGGGATAAGAGCGGGAGCCTGTCCTATGCCGAGTGCTGAGCTTCCCTCCTCGGTGGCTTCCTCCTAATCCCTGCTTGGGAGGGGGAGGGAATGTCATTGGGAGCTCGTGACTCCACGGAGAAGTATTTGGATTAATCACCTAAGCTGGCTTTTGGTAAGAGCCCGGCTGTGCGGAGGCTCTGGCCGCTGACACATTCCTTGGGCAGCTTTGCCAGCAACACCCGCTCGATATCCCGGTCTTTTGGTGCAAATTCCAGCGTTCCCAAGCAGAGGAAGGTCCTTGGTTTTTGATGGGAAGCCGTGTCCCAGCTCCACCCCTGCCATGCCTCTCAAGGCACCAGGCTTATCTCACCCTCCTCGGGGCTCCTCAAGGTGACTTTAAAGAAGTGAAGGAATCCTGGAATGGTTTCACTCGGAAGGGACCTTAAAGCCATCATTCCGTGGGTGGGGATACCTTCCACTAGCCCAGGTTGCTCCAAGACCCATCCAACCTGGCGTGGAACACTTCCAGGGATGGGGCAGCCACAGCTTCTCTGGGAAACCCATTCCAGTGCCTCACCACCTTCAGAAAATTGGGAAACCCAGTATCCTGCTGTCTATGGGCAACTTCCCACCATTTCTACACAGGTCCTGGTTCCCACCCTCCTGGAGTGCTCAGCCCTGGCAGGTGGGTTTCAGGAATGTTCTGGGATCACAGTGGGAGCTTGAAGAGGTAGATCCATTATGGTGAGGTGTTGGGAGCAGGGTGTGGCAGATCCTCTGGGACAATTGGGGGACACAGGGGTGGCCACTGGTGAGCTCCTGAAATGCTGAGGGCAGCAGGGTGGTGCTTCCACATCCCAGAAACTTCAGGAGAGGAGGGACACTCCTAGGGTCTGCAATTCCATGTTGGAGGTGCTGGCACAGCTGGGAATCCCAGAGACTCTGCCTGCTTCATCCTCGCCTCAATGCCCACCTGGAAGCAGCATCACATTCCCTGCTCCAGATGGATCCCACTGTTCACGCGGAGGAGCATCTCCACCCTGTCCCTGAAATCCCTGGGCTCTGCCATGGAGGTGTCCTGAAAACCAGTGGTCATCCAGGTTTTTATTCCCCCTTTAACCAAGGTTTGTAAGGCAGAGATCCCTCTCCACACCCTGTCCGCTTGGCAGAATTCCTAGCTGGATTTATTCCTGCCAATTTGCTTGTCTTGGTATGAAGGGGATTTGCAGAGGGAGAGCTGCAATTGGGTGGGGGTGGGATGGAGGTTTGAGATCAGCCCATGACCTTTCTCCAGAGCCAGGGGGTCTTTTGGGAGAGGGCTGGACATGGGGCTTTCATGTGGGGTCTTCCAGGATGGTCTTTCACTGACTTCTTATCAGAACTGGGGGCAGCTGGACCTTCTTTCCCGGTTCCTTGGCAGTGCCTTTGGCACTGCAGGCTGGCTCTGGCCCCTCCAGACACCCACTCGGGAGACACAGATAAAGGAAGGGCTTGCTGTCAACAAAACCCTGCCCAGCTTCCCTGGAACAGGGCAGGGAGGGGAGAAGGAGCCCTCCAGAGAAAGGAGAGAGAAATCCACTCCTGGGAGAGGAGAGGAGCAGGAGGGAGGTTGGGAGCCACTCCGGAGCTATGGCAGAGAAATTCCAGCGTGTTCTGCAGAGCTGAGGCAGAGTCCCAAGGAAATCAGAGGATGTCCCAAGTAGGAAGGGATCCCCAAGGATTGTGGAGTCCCACCATGTATCTGTGTCAGCACCCTGGCTTGTCCCACATATTCCATCTCCTGGGGTTGGCTTTTGCCCCGGGATGCAAATGGACAGATAGCCCTCAAGGATCTGCTGATCTGGATCATCCCTGCCCATGGCAGGGGGTTGGAACTAGGCTTTAAACTCCCCACCCACCCCATTCCATGATTCCATGACTCTCAGATCAGTTCCTTGACTCTGCAAAGGTCTGGTGGTGTTTCCAAAGCCTTTCCCTGTCCCTCTCCAGCTCATTCTTCCACCTCCTCTTCCCTTACAGGCCACGACATTAATGGAGCTCTGGAACCATCCAACATTGACACCAGCATCCTGGAGGAATACATCAGCAAGGAGGACTCTCCAGAGATGTAAGTGCTTCCCTTGCTCCACAGGGGGAATGGCATTCCCTGAGGTTTTCTATGGAGAGGCTATAAATCCTGGAATGGTTTGACTGGGAAAGGACCTTAAAGCTCAAGGACACCTCCCAGAAGCCCAGGTTGCTCCAAGCCCCATCCAACACTGCCAGGGATGGGGTATCCACAGCTTCTCTGGGAAATCTGTGGAGCAATTTCCAGCCCAGAAATTTGAGGAATCATGTAGGAATCACTGTGCAGCCCCACTCCAAAGTCCTCCTGGATCTCTCTTTGCTCCATTGCCTTTCCCAGCTCTTGTTCCTGTCTCTTCCTAGTTTTTTACCTTTGGGTTTTCCCAGTCTCTGTTGTTCCCTCTCCTGAGGGAACCATAAAGGCTTTTCTTTAAAAATGGGAAAACAGGCCCTGAGAGCTTTACTGAATCCCCAGCACAACCTGAGTGTCGGGAAAGGAAGAGTCTGCCTGGGTATCCCAGCTCTGGGAATGAGAGGGAAGCAGACCTGGAGAGCACCTGTGAGCAGGGTGAGAGTGAGATTTTTGGCACAGCTTCCCTGAAAGCTGGAGTGCGCTGGGCAGATTCTGCTGGCTTCGCGTTCCTCAGTGTTGACCTCCTGGGAATTTTAAAGCTTCCCGGGTGGATTTTGGCCTCTTCCTCCAGTCCCTCTGACCTGCCCCTGTTTGCTCCTGGTGCCACCATGGTGCCGATTGTTTGACTGTTTCCCAAGTATCCCAGAGCACCTGAACAACTCTGATCCCACATTTTGGGAGGGGAGGGATGGGCACGAAGTGTCCTTGGCTGAGGTTTTCCCATTCTCTCCCTCAGCTGCTTCCCTGACGTTCCTGCTCCATCCAGCTACACGCACTCCCAGCCCTCTAGCTCCGCCAGCATTGCTCCCTCCAGCTCCATCACCAGCGCTCCCAACCCCTCTTCCAGTGCTCCCCTCCACCTTCCCCCCACCAGCAGCCAGCTCCCGATCCGGCACGGTCCTCTCCTGGCTAATCCGTGCGGATCCGGCTACGGAGCTCACCTCAACTGCAACAACAACAATGGGATGGTGGTGCCCAAGGGCTTCCTGGGCGGGCATTGCCTGAGCAGTGTGGGCCCTCCGATCAAAACGGAGCCCAAGGCTCCCTACGCGCCTGGGTAAGCAGGAATGGCCCGGGGGGGAGATGGGATTGTGGCTTCTCCGGGCTGGTGGCACTGGGAGGGGCCCATGGGGCCATGTCGAGTTCTTGTCTCATGGAAAGGCGGTTTGGGGTAAATGGAAGTCCTGAAACTTCCCCAAAGGTTTTTTTGGGAGTATCCTCTGTGTTGTGTGTACCTGTACTGGGCATCTGCAGGTGGGAAGTGAGAGAACACTGTAGGATTTTTTTAAGGAGGAAGAGGCTCGGAGTGAACCTGGGCAGCACAAAATTTGGTCTGTGGGATGAAACTGAACCTCCAGGATGTTCCTGTGACTATCCCAGTGGATAGCTCATTACACTGGGCAGGGGCATGTTCTTCTGGTAGCCTGATGTGGTAGATGCTCTGTTCCAGAGATGGAAGAGATGGATCTGAGCTGGATGTCTTTCAATGAGCTCAGGATGCAGACTTGGAGAAGAGGAAGAGGATGGGCAGATTTCAGGATTGCTGATGGATTCAACTGGATGGTTATTCCCAAGGGGAGAAAAGATGTGGTTCCTGCTCTCTGGGATGGAAGGGAACAACCCCGGGAGAGCAGGATGGGCCTGGTCTCTTCCTGCTGCCACCAGGAATAGAGAAGTGGAAGATGATCTGAAACCGGACAGGTGAAATCCAGGCGTGCGGCAGAGTATCCATGAGCAGGAAGGAATAGTCATTCCCAGAGGAGCTCCACCTGGATCCTGAGGTGGTGGTGGCCACGAACAGCCAGTCCCTGAGCCTCCTCCCATGGAAATAATGGATGTGAGAGACAGAGAGGCCGGGATGGCCCCAGGACTGACTCTTCTTCCTCTGCCTTGTGCCCTCTAGTGTTGCCAGCAAGCAGAGCCTGGGAGTTCCCAGATTTGGGAACCTCCAGCACACTCAGCCTATGGATGAACTTTGAAAGACCTTCTAGAAAGCTAAAATACTCTGCCTTTATTTTATTCCCAGGCCAGGGAGTTTTCTCTTGGGATATGTGGAGCTTAGGAGGAACCAAAAGCCTTGACATGTCCCTTTCTTGTGGATGCACCTGGAATTCTCCAGAATGTCATGAGTGAGGATCATACCTTCCTTTCAGAGAAGAAAAACCTCTGGATGCAGCTGAACTGGAACAGGATGGTAGCATTCCTGCAGCATTCCAGAATGACTCTTCCTCAGTGTACGAGGCTTTTTCCAGTGGAGAATCGTGGAATATCCTGAGTTCCCTGTGGGAATTCTGCAGTCCACCTTTTCCAGCCTCCAGGATTCCCTGGATTGTGCTATTCCCTTTTGTTATGGGCCAAAATTTGGCTTGCTAAAGCAGGAATCATGATAAATCCATAGGGAATACAGGCTGAATTCACAACCAGTGTGGCAAAGAGCCTGAAAAGGGCTAGGAAAAACTACTCCAGCCAGGCATAGGAAGGGACTGATGGAAAGGTGCTCCAAGGGAAGTTGGAGGACAAGGGAAGTGTGATGAGGGCCTTTTTTGGATGAACCTTCCTCATCCCTCTCCAACTGCTGCCCTTACCACTTCTCATGGAGAATCCAATTAATGGGTCTGATCCAGGAAGCTAAATCCATCCAGTGGGCTTCCCAGGTCCCCCCAAGCCTCCCATTTCAGGGAATTATGGAATTGTTTGGGTGGGAAGGAACCTTAAACACGAGCCACTGACAAACCCTGCTGTGGGCCAGGAAACCTTTCAGGTTGCTCCAAGCCCTATCCAACCTGGATTTGAACACTTCCAGTGATGGGAAGAACGCTTCATGCACCCCACCTGGTCACTGGCATTCCCATGGGGAAGCACACCTTTCCCTGGGATGTGGATAAATTTCCATTTGACTTCTTTTATCTGGAATTCTCATTGTCAAGTCAACAAAATGTCTCTGTTCCCAAAATCCAGGGAAGCACTGGGGGAGCAGTGGCACTAATGGCAATCCCAGGGTTATTCGGGATTCCCAGCGGGATCCTGGAGGGTGCTTTGATCCAGCTGGACCCATTGGTTTTGCTGGGAATGACTTCCCTTTCTCTTTTCCCGTTGCTTTGCAGCACTCTGCCGGACTCTCCCCCGGATTCCGGATCCGAAGCCTATTCCCCTCAGCAGGTGAATGGTGAGTGCTGAAAAACAGGGAGGAGGGGGAGGGAAGGGAAAAACTCATAATCCAAACCCCAAATCCAACATCCTCCCCCCTCCTTATGCCGTGAAAGTGGTTGGCTCTGGAATCTTTATCAGCCGGGAGAAAACAGGCGGCTGCTCTACGTGGGGAGATTATCAGTTAGTAAATATCCCTCGGCTCTCACCCGTTGTTCCGCTCCCAGCCTCTGGAAAAGTGGGAGAGGGAGTGGGAGACGAGGCAAGGTGGGATCCCATGGATCCAGGGAGATCTCTGTGCTGTGGCTGATCCGTGGGCAGGGTGGGATGTGGATCCTGCCCTCACCTTCCTCGTCTTGCCCCGTGCCTCGGGAAAAAGGAGTGGGAATGCGGCCCTGACATGGAGCTGGGCTCCAGGAGGGAGTCATGGACCCGCCATTTGCCAGTAAGTTCCTTCCCAGCCCTTCCCTCCCCTCCAGCTCATCCCGAGGGTCTC